AGCACGACAGCAGCACCACAGCAGCAGCAGCTACCAGCAGCAGCACCAGCAGCAGGCAGCAGGCCGCCGCAGGCAGCAGCAGGCATCAGTAGGCAGCAGCAGACACAAGCAGACGCAGCAGCAGTAAGCGCAACGGCAGCAGCAAGATTCTATTTTAATTTTATTTTATAGCAGCAACAGCAACAACAACAACAACATTCTTGCAGCCATGGAACCAATAACACAAAGCTGCAGCAGCAGCAGCAGCAGTTGTTTCTGGCTTTGGAAGCTGTTTGATTGCAGCAGCACGACAGCAGCACCACAGCAGCAGCAGCCACCAGCAGCAGCACCAGCAGCAGGCAGCAGGTGTTTCGAAAAGGGTATCTGGCTGTTTGTTTCTTGCTTTGGAGGCTGTTTGATTGCAGCAGCACCACAGCAGCAGCAGCAGCCACCAGCAGCAGCACCAGCAGCAGGCAGCAGCAAGGAGCAGCAGGCCAGGTAGCAGCAGGCAGCAGCAGGCAGCAGCAGGTAGCAGCAGGCAGCAGCAGACACCAGCAGAGGCAGCAGCAGGCAGCAGCAAGCAGCAGCAGGCAGCGGCAGGCAGCGGCAAAGTTGCAATTTTATAGTAAGGTTTCAGAAGTGACGTTAGGCCCTTTTTTGGGGTTCCTTTGCTACGTTTTGGGCACGAAATTAGGTGGTGTTTTGCTGTTTCGGATGTGTTTCGAAAAGGGTGTCTGGCTGTTTGTTTCTTGCTTTGGAGGCTGTTTGATTGCAGCAGCAGCACCACAGCAGCAGCAGCAGCCACCAGCAGCAGCACCAGCAGCAGGCAGCAGCAGGCAGCAGCAGGGAGCAGCAGGCAGGCAGCAGCAGGCAGCAGCAGGGTTGCAGAAGTGACGTTAGGCCTTTTTTTGGGGTTCCTTTGCTACGTTTTGGGTACGAAATTAGGTGGTGTTTTGCTGTTTCGGATGTGTTTCGAAAAGGGTGTCTGGCTGTTTGTGGCAGCAGCAGCAGCAGCCACCAGCAGCAGCACCAGCAGGAGGCAGCAGCAGGGAGCAGCAGGCAGGCAGCCGCAGGCAGCCGCAGGCAGCTGCAGGCAGCAGCAGGCAGCAGCAGGCAGCAGCAGACACCAGCAGAGGCAGCAGCAGGCAGCGGCAGGCAGCGGCAAAGTTTCAATTTTACAGTATGGTTTCAGAAGTGACGTTAGGCCCTTTTTTGGGGTTCCTTTGCTACGTTTTGGGCACGAAATCAGGTGGTGTTTTGCTGTTTCGGATGTGTTTCGAAAAGGGTGTCTGGCTGTTTGTTTCTGGCTTTGGAGGCTGTTTGATTGCAGCAGCACCACAGCAGCAGCAGCAGCCACCAGCAGCAGCACCAGCAGCAGGCAGCAGCAGGGAGCAGCAGGCAGCAGGCAGCAGCAGGCATCAGTAGGGTCGCAGCAGCAGCAGAGGCAGCAGCAGGACACCAGCAGAGGCAGCAGCAGAGCAGCAGGCAGCGGCAGCGGCAAAGTTGCAATTTTATTTAATAGAGGGTTTCAGAAGTGACGTTAGGCCCTTTTTTGGGGTTCCTTTGCTACGTTTTGGGTACGAAATTAGGTGGTGTTTTGCTGTTTCGGATGTGTTTCGAAAAGGGTGTCTGGCTGTTTGTTTCTTGCTTTGGAGGCTGTTTGATTGCAGCAGCACCACAGCAGCACAGCAGAAGCAGCAGCACCAGCAGCAGCCACCAGCAGCAGAGCAGCAGGCAGGCAGCAGCAGGCAGGCAGCCGCAGGCAGCCGCAGGCAGCTGCAGGCAGCAGCAGGCAGCAGCAGGCAGCAGCAGACACCAGCAGAGGCAGCAGCAGGCAGCGGCAGGCAGCGGCAGGCAGCGGCAAAGTTTCAATTTTACAGTATGGTTTCAGAAGTGACATTAGGTCCTTTTTTGGGGTTACTTTGCTACGTTTTGGACACGAAATTAGGTGGTGTTTTGCTGTTCCGGATGTGTTTCGAAAAGGGTGTCTGTTAACATTTACTCTTTATCTAAACTACTCCAAGATCGACAAAACATGATGCTGGCTAGTTGAGTCCCTAAAGTAGCTAAAGGCTGGAAACTATCAACCAATTGTCAAAAAAAACTCAGACCATCATCTGATATATGATATAACTGTCATATAACCACATGACCATTCTTCCGGGGTCGGCGGCAGGGGCGGCAGCCCTTAATATATATATATATATCTCTCTCTCTCTCTCTCCCTGTCTCCCATTATATACATGTGTTCCCTCCGTTTTCCCTGACACCCCCATGACCCCACCGGGCCGCACCGTGAGAGCTCCCCAGAAGGTTTCCAACGTGGCGCCTTGGCCTTGCAGGACACGGCGCACCGCAGCCTGTGAAGCTTGCGACGTTGAGCGACGTTGAGCGACAGATGGATGGTAGATTTACATTTGGGTGATGTCTAAGGGCTATATGTTGATATTCCATATTTATGGATAAGATTTGATTATATTACATTATGATTCGGATATATGGTATAGATATATGTATATATGCTTCACGAAATTGGTGTATTTATATATATATAAATAATTATCCCTATGAATCCAATGGTCCAAGTACCTTCTTAGAAAGTGTGATTGGGGTATGATTTGGGGGGTTAAGTGCCTTCTCAGGAGGTGTTTGGATCCATAGGATATATATATATATATATTCCATATTTGTGGGTGGGGTTATATATATAATACTATATCATATTGTGGTTTGGATATTTGGTATGTATAAATATATATATATGCTTCACGAAATTGGTGTATATATAATATCCCATATATGGATGGGATTTTGTTATATTATGATTACGATATATGGTGTGTGTGTATATATAAATATATATATATATGGGCAAATTATAATAATTGACTGGCTTGAACTAAGGCCATTTGGGGTTGATTTCCCTTATCAACCATGCTTCCAGTGAGGTAGCAGTGAGGTCGTTATTTTTTTATCCATAAATATATATATATGCTTAATGATCCAAAATATACCCAAATGGTGATTTCAAAAAAATGGGGATCCCGAAGTCACCATGGGTTTCAGTACTAAAACGGACTAATGATTTGGATGATGGGGGTACCAACACTTTAGGAAACATCCATGTAAATCTACCAAGTGGATTGGTTTAGTGGAGAACAAATGCAGAAAATCTGGGTTCTTGTTACCTCAAAATAGAAGGTTTTCTTGCAGATTAAACTACCACTTCAGAGAACCGTTGGTGATTGCTGCCACCATTACTGGTGAGAAGGTAGCTTATACCTTCACGCAACTCGGAGGCATTGTGAAATACCCGGTCACTAAGTTAGCAAATTCTGGCATCTGACTATGAAACATGGACATGTTCGATATGGTCAACCTCGTAACACCATTTGCAAACAGAGATTTCTTTGGTTCGATTACTTAATGGTGCTTAGTAGGGAATGAGGGAATGGTCCATAATCACTAGTAATAATCATCCCATTCCCCCAGTCCTATCCATTCCCTACTAAGCACCAGTAAGATTAATATGATATTACCACCACACTATTCAATCTTGAATCATTCCACCAAAGCTGAACTAAAAATTATGGATGTGTCGTCGGCTGTTGTTGGTGAGTTACTAAGTCCGTAGACCCTCAACTCGTACCCACAAGAAATGGTCTGGTTGGTGGTATACCTACCCCTCTGATAAAATATGAGTTCGTCAGTTGGGATGATGACATTCCCAACCGAATGGAAAAATAAAAGCCATGTTCCAAACCAACCAGTTTTGGTATTTCAAAGAAGTAGGTGATGTGGGGGCCAATTAGTGGTGGTGGACAGTGCTTTTTTCGAACGTATTCGGAGGGTCAATCACTCTTTTAGCCGCCGAGTAAAATGACTCCTGCCCAAAATGAAACATACGTTGACTTTGTGCAAATGCACACCATACCATCCGGTTATAAATTGTCAACAAACATATTGAAACATATGAAGCAGGAAACACTTGCTGTGACCTTCTGGCTGCGCTCCAAAGGTTCACCAGCAAAGCGGTGAAGGCACAGCCGAAGGCGTTGCACGAGCTCTAGCGTTCATGGCCTTCTGGAACATGGCACACGCATCAAAAGGATGGCTCAATAGTTCTTGAAACTACAAAGTGGTGCCCCCCAGCTATAAGTTGGTTTACAAACCCCATTAACTGTAGTTATATCTACTATAAACACCACAGTTAAGCCACTTATAAGGCAACTGGACGCTATCTAGGGAGCACCACATTGTAAGGTTCCATCTTGCTGGAGATGCAGAGAAAAGTTCATCACAGCAGGGCGCTTGTCGCCGCTCTCTCAGCCAGAGGTCCCGAGGTCGCAGTTCACACGGTTCACACGTCGCTTTGCCACAAGACAATCAGCAACGTAGAACAGCTGTATAAACTTGAGAGGGCAGATTGCAATAGATGCAAGTCGATTTTTTCCGGGAATTTGAAGTACACATTTTGAGTCACATGAGCCGTGCAGTAAACAATCGGTCAGTGAAACTGGCTCAAAGCTTGTACCAACTATTTCAAAGTGCAATGGTCCCTGGTTCCTGCAACACTGCAGCCTGGAAGTTACATTTGCGTTCGTTGAAAAAAATTGGACACATCCAAGTGCAAGATGGAGAAATTACCCTCTCACAAAGAAACGTCATTATTTTTTGTAAAAACCCATGTGTCTATCTGCGCTGCCAATCTTAGATAACCTGTAAACAAGTAGCTGGGTACTATCCCCATTTTCAGCAAATTATCAAAAAGAAAAAGCACCGTACCCATCGCCAGCGACTGTACTCCTCTTTTTGACAGTTAAACACCCACAGTTTATTTGCTCTGGGTCTAACATCATCTTTGATGGCGAAATTACTACGCATCCAGCCGCTTCCCCTGGGAATCCATACTGTTTTTATGTATCAATGAAATCACATACCAACCCCTGAAAATGAGTCGGTTTATCCAGCAAACTATTTTACCAGCCCAGGGCCCCACTTTGTACCAACGGCGCACATCCTCATGAACCCTCAAAAGCCTCGGTTTGCAACTCCTCATCGCAGAACTCTTGGTGCGCAAAGACCGCGCTGATAGAGATGCGATCCTTGGTGCGGTCGGTTTTTGGGGAAATATTTGGGCATTTCACTGGAGGTAACCCTGATTCATCCATTTATAATGGGATTTTCATTATGAACCATCCGGCTATTGGGGTATCCCCAGGAATTTACAGATCTTCTGTTTTGGAAAAGGGGGATATGAGGGAAAAGACGGGATGGGAAGAAACCCTGAGCACTTCGGTCAGCCTAACATTCCAAGATGTTTCTAACCTTTGATTAGCCAACAACGGAATTCAACCAGCAAAAGTGAACATGATTTGTCCCAGCCGCTGATTGCCCGTAAGGTTTGAAACCGTATCAATCTGGTTGAGCAGTCTTTACTGTCCCAAATTGTTCAATCAACACGCAGGAGATTTGCAACCGCAACTGCAAGTTAATTTTGTCTGGTTGGTGGTTTCAACCCACTGAAAAATATGAAAGTCAGTTGGGATGATGACATTTCCAATGTATGGAAAAGTAAAATTCATGTTCCAAACCACCAACCAGGGTATTTTCTGTATTATTGCTAAGGCTATTATTTGGTGGGTTAGTCTTAACACTACTTGACCCATGACTACTTGGTGGGATAATAGTGGCTATATATAGTGATTCGTACTAATAATAATGGCTAATAGTGGTTATAATAATGTATTAACATGATTGTCTTAAAAAAAATGTACGAGAGGTCGCCAAAGTTGCCTCTGCCCGACTCGTGGTCAAAACATCTCATGCCGACGTCATCATCATCTTGCATTTGATCATCACCATCATCATCACTGGTCAGGTCAATCTTGATTTTCTCCCAAGCCTGCTTGACGTGATCTCTGACATCGTTCTCTTGAGGACGTTGTTCTGCAGCAGGGATGCTGGCAACAGTAACTTTGATTCGTCTCCTCAAGCCGTGACTAATCAAATAGCCTCTGCAAACGACGCATATTGCCAACGTTGCTGGGGTTTCACAAAGACAAGCTGGGCTTGGACGATGTGTGAGCGCAAGAAGAGAAATGGTGTCTTTCCAATCTTGATGTCCTGGGAAGAGTCTGCCTGAATAACTGATGTGACTCGTCTTGATGTCGATGAGTTTGCGGAGCTCGTTCAAATCCGGAGATGATTCATCCGGAATGACATTCCCGATGATACATACCTTCTGGTAATTTAACATAGGTATTGAAAATGGTGATTTATAGTGGATTTAACCATTAAAAACGGTGATTTTCCATAGTTATGTTAGTTCACCAGAGGGTATATGTTTTATGCATTTTGATATTAAATATCTATAATTAAATATTGGAAGGCTATATGGCCGAGTGCCAAGATTGGGTTGCTTCACATCTACCGGTCGCGTGAATTCATCTTCACAGCTTGGATACAACATTTTTTCGTCTCAAAGTCAACCAAGGCATCCTCGTATCAATCCTGTGTGTTGTATACAGTCCAGTCATATATATATATATATTCACTGGTTGGTGGTTTCAACCCCTCTGAAAAATATTAATCAAATGGGATATTGTTCCCAAAATATGGAAAAATATAAAATGTTCCAAAGCACCAACCAGTCATAAATGGAGGTTCCTAAACTGAGGGTATCACAAAATCATTCAAAACCAGACCATTTCGTATTGAAACCTATGGTGACTTTGGGATCCCCCATTTCAAAACCCCCCAAATTCTGGAAACAAAGCTGTACATGGCCACCGGCTAATCATGAATACTCTGTATTCTGCATATTGAACATCCATGTTTGATTCTTCTCAGCTAATCATTGACATGCATTAACCACCGTCCCATTGATCAATCCATTCGTATCCCACTCATAGCAAATTTACCACAATATATATATATATATACCCAGTGATATCAAGAGGTGGCAGCTACAATACCACCACGTCATATCATTTTGAAAAAATCGGTAACCAGTGACCTGAAAAGTTTGGACATGTTGGGATACCGTATATAATCCCCCAATCTTAGCAATCATTCCAGTGATATCGCAGAGAGCTCGCAACATAGTAATTTATCCAGACATGTCACCATTACCTCCCATCCTGTCCCCATTCTTGCTGGTAAAAAAACATTGTTTTTTCTGGTCAAATCAATTACACCCTATTACAACTTGAGTATTGTATAAGAATTTGAGGGGCTCGAATCCATGGCGGGCTACATATTTTCAGCTATACCAAGCACGTAGTACTGTAAGAGTTTGAGGGACCCTGGAATAGGATTGCCAAATTCTTAAATTACTGCTTATACGTGACATTTGCAAGTCCCGATTGCGGCTCATTTTTTTTGAGGAGTGACCCCTTATGGTCTTATGGGTTGAAACCGGATTTTGCAGAAAAAAAATCAAGCTCCGAAAAATGTTCTTTTTCGCGCATGCTTGGACTGCTTCCAATCCACTCAAAATCTAGATGTAGATAGACCTGGGAACCTGAAACATTTTTTTTCCCCAATAACTTGAAGAAAACTTAGGCTTTGGAGACAAACAATTTTTCAAGCTCCAATTTTTTTTTTCGCACATACTTGGACTGCTTCCAATCCACGCAAAATCTTTATGTGGATAGACTTGGGGACCTGAAAAATTGTTTTGCCCAATAACTTGAAGAAAACCTAGGCTTTACAGAAAAACAATTTTTCAATCTTCAAAAAATGTTTTTTTGGCACATGCTTGGACTGCTTCCAATCCACGCAAAATCTATATGTGGATAGACTTGGGACCCTAAAACATTCTTCGATCTGAAAAATTGTTTCTTGTTCTGACCCCTTGTGCAACGGAATATTTAGCGGAATTCTTTTTTGCACCGCGACTGTGTGGAGTGACGCCCTGTGGGATGAAACCGGGCCTTGCAACAACTCTGACAAGTTGCGCGCGCGGTGTGATTGCGAAAGGCAGACTACAGGAAACCAAGAAAACGACATATTGGCAGACCCTTTTAGATGCCCAACCCGGAATTCGAACCTCAAATCTTCAAGCGTGAAGTCCGGCACTCTGAGCATTGTGGTAGAGGACCCTTGCTTTCAAAGCATTTTGCCTTCTCATTCTCTCTCTTTGCCCTGGCTGCAAAGACCTACAAATTTAGCCTGGGTTGCCGGTGCGAAAAAAAAACAATTTTCAGGCTCTAAAAAATGGTTTTATCCGCACTGCTGTTATGAAACTCAGACAAGCCCGGCTTTGAAAAAAAAAACATGGTCTAAAAACATGTTTTTTTTTTTCTGCAGTGCTCTTATGAAACTCATGCAAGCCCGGCTTTGCAAAAAAACATCAGGGTCTAAATCAATGTTTTTTTCTGCGCTGCTGTTATGAAACTCAGACAAGCCCAACTTTGAAAAAACAACAAGCTCTAAAAACATGTTTATTCGTATGTCTCTTGTCAAATCTGCCAACTTCACCTCGTTACCTCGCTTTAGCTCGCTCCAAATTGCGCAGATGCATACGATATATAACTAAGAATGCTCTAAGAATTTGAGGGACCCTCGACCTATTGTGGTGGAAATTTGCCTGCTTTTAAAAAAGAATTTGAAGGACCCTGGGCCTCAAGCTTTCTGATTCTTAACCGACTCTTGGGCTGTAAAACGACTATCCCAACCCCACCACATCCCCAGCCCATTGATATCCTTACCCTCCAGTAATCAATCATGGCAACTGAAAATCCATTTGATAGATAGATGGCAATAAAAACATATTAAAATCAAGTCTAAATGGGTGCAACCGGATGGTGCAACCAGTGGACCTGGCACGTAATCAACTTTTGAAGCTGTGAGTACATATGGGTCGTCGAAAATTGGTCGTCGAAAATTGGTACCCCAATGTTTCGATGCTAAGCATCTACTAAAATTGCAATGGTAGTGCATTGATGCCCGGAAAGAACTTGTGATCGTGCTCGCGGAAATCAGTTCCCAATAGACTAGGTTAAGCTATTTTTGTCTAATTCGACTATTTCTTAACTATTTTTTTATCGTTTGACGAGAAAAATTAACGTTTCAACTTTTATTTTTCAACCAAAAAAGACTATACGATAAAAACTAATCGAAAATAGTCGAATTCGACTATTTTTTTTATCGTAGGCACCGTTTCGGAAGTAGAAGTTTCCACTAAACTTCTCCTAAACTTCCACCTTTTTTGTGGAAGTTTTGTGGAAATTTTGCGGAAGTCTTGTGGAAGTGACACTTAAAAAGTGGAAGTTTCCACTTTTCTACCCTTAAAAAAGTGGAAGTTTGGTAGCAGTTTAAGTGGAAGTTTCATGCGGTTATAGATTTAAAAAATGTAAAAAATAACCGTACGATAAAAAAAAACAAATAATCGGAAAAATAGTCGGAAAAAATAGTCGTAAATAAAAAACGTACGATAAAAAAACGCTTTAAAAAGAACCGTACGATACAAAAAATAGTCGAACATAGTCGAACTGTTTATCTTACTTGTTTTAGATAAAAGACAATTTTTAACTTTAATCTAAAGATAAAAAAAGGTCTAACCTAGTCTATTGGGGTTGTAACAAGACCTGCAAGACCGTGGCCTGGGTGGCAAGACCAGAGAGGTATTGGTCTCCGGCGGTTGCTCTGGGAAATACAGGCGCTCAACCAAAACTAAACTGTTTGACATCGAAGCCCACAAATCGAAGGCTGACTGGAGGAATTTCGGCCCCCCACATGCTTGTAAAAAAGGGCTCGGAGAGCACCAACGATGCACTCGAACTGCATGATACGTGGTTCAGGATCACGTATATCCATGAAGACCAATGTCACGATGTCTTCGGCTTGCATGAGTGCAAGTCACGGGAATGCAGTGCAAGTTTGGATGCCAAAGTTCTTAATTAGGGCGGGAAGTGACAACAGGGTGGGACAAAACCCTTGAATTGAAAAATGGCACTTGAAACAAAAATGACTCCGTGAAGAAACGTGCTTCCAAGGTGAGACAAAACTGACGCTGCATTCTGTTTGGCAATTGCGTTTGTTTCGGCACACGTTTTGCAAACAGTTACACGGTTTGGAAATCAGACGTTGTTCCAAGTTCCAAGAGACGGGCATGTAATTTTAGGCCAAGTGCTTTTGGAAATCCAAAAAGGGTTTGGTGTTCGCAAAACTGGAACACGGCTTTTAGGTTGGTAGCCAAAACCAAATAGCGTGCCATGGCTATGGCATAAACACACGTGCAAAACCCAACGGCATGTTGGATAGTTTGGCAAGGATGCAAGGCTTCAAACAAAAAAAGGTGTTTTTATTCCTTTTGCTTTTTGTATTTAGTGCACTATCAACGCGTTGACCATTAGCGGGGCTTTAAAATTTGACGTCCCCAGATGCCTATGATTAGGCAATGGGCAACGTTATATCACACTTAAGATGTCCACCTCTACATGTTCACTTCAGCAGAAGCATCGCAAAGCGTGGCAAAGAAGTCTGTGGGATCTTCGACTGCCTCAACTACCTGAGACGACATGTGGACCTGGACTTTGAGGATTGAACCAAAATATGTTAAACATGGGGATCTAAGCATGAAAATGAGAGACTTAAGAAGGAAACTTTAGCGACTTAGCCACGAACAATGGGAACCTAGTGTGACTTCAGCAAAAATAGTAAGATTTAAATGAGCAATGGATTTAACCGTCACAAATGGGGACTGAACCATTGGAAAAACCAGGGCCCAACCGAATCAGTGAAAAATGTTGATTTCACCGACACGAATGGGCAATTTAAAAAAAGAAGCCACAGAAATGCCAATTTCAAGAAACAAGAATTGACATGAATTGTCTCATGGCCAGTGGAAAAAACGGCAGCCGTTGCAGTTGTGCAAGACCTGGGGCTTGCATAAAATCAAAGACTGCAGTACAAAACGTAGATCATACCTTCAATGAAACACAACAATATATCAATGGATTGGTTTAAGGGAAGATCTACAGGAACCATCGATTTTCCACGTAAAAATTGGGTTTTACTGTAAATTTTCCCTTACACCAATCCATTGAATATAGCAAGCAAGTACCAACCAAAACAAAACTATGAGATAGAGCACATCCTAACTTCCAGGGCCACTCCAGTCGAATTGACTTCCTTCAATGGAACCCCGCAAGTCATTCTGATGCAGATATTTTTTGATCACCGGGCAACATAAGACTTAATAAGTTGAGGGATCATGGAAGTATTTTTAGGTGCGAACACAAGGCTGTGGATACCTAACCAACCAAACACTGGAATGATTCAACGGACACCAAACCTACCAAACTTAGGAAAATAAAATCTGAAACCACTGGAATGATTCAATGTATGATCGATGAAATTGCGCTCGGTGACTGTAACACATCTGAACACATCGTCATGCTGGGATTCTGATTGCAACCTTTCGTATGTACGCATCATCATTTTTCTCCAATGTTGACTTTAAAACATCATTTAGGGTGCTGTCATCTGACATTTTCGTCATTCCTTGCGATTTCCAAGAATGGTTTGGCGGATTGTATTCCCAAGTGAATAAGAAAAACCTTGTGGTATCCGGGTATTTCCACAATGTTTTTCTCGAGCAAAACCAGGCCACCAGGTGTTGCCCCCTCTCCTTCAGATTCTTTGCTAGGTCCTGGTGGGTGGAATTTCTTTTCTGAAAAAGAAATCGCACTTGGGACTATGTCACACTTGAAAAAAATAAATATATATATATATAGACTTAGACACTCAACTTTTGAGATCATTCATCGCTCAAAACACTTGAAACATATAATGCTTTACTGTTTAACTCATGAATCGCTAGACATGCGGATTCAACTTCAATATTCACCGCCGCTCTTGAGGATTCCAAACAGCTGAACACGAACACATCTATGAATCACGCTTCAACAGCTCGCGGGCTTGGGCCAAAACTCATGGAATCCCCTTCTCTTCCACCAAAACAGCTGGTAACTTGAAGGTTCATCCCTCTGTAACTCACTCAAAAGCTTTGAATACATCCGCACACTGGTTCCAGATTGACCAAGAGTTTTTTACACTGCCCTGGACCTTCCAAAGTACAGAAAATTCTGTACGATTGGGATTTCTGCATTTTTGGGCCGGTTGAAACGTTTAATCTTAAATGTAAACGGTTTCAACAAAAAGTGAACTCTTTACAGCAGTTCTGACTGCCACCTTAGATATGGCACGGGTGGTTAAAATATCTTGCCGCAATGGGTCCCTCATAATGTACCGATTGGAACTGCTGGTGATAATGTCCATGCTTTCCTAAATTTGCAGAGTTTGTGTTGGTGATTGGAGCCCGCAAAGATTCAAAGCCTCAAACATGCAGGACTACTAAGCTATATTTGAAAATACTTAGTTTGAAGCATGCTTAGTTTGCAGAAATAACAGTTTTCATTCCAACAAGCTGCGATTTGATGCGATTTGTCACATGCATGAACCGCAGCAGTTAAGAAATCCCGATTTGCGTACTTTTGCGGATATTTGCGTATTTTTGCGGGAAATTTGCGTACTTTTTGCGGGAAAACTGTCGACATTTTTATTGAATTCAGAGCAGTTTTGGAACTTCCTGCAGGCATTTCTTCAAAAAAAACATGGGCGTTCTGTTTTTTTTTACAAATTAGACAAAAACAGGCTGTTTCAATTCAATGGCTATAGCGGTCTGGTGTCTCCCATCCAGCAAAGATTGCTTTTAGCGTGGCACCAAAGCCTTCTTTGAGCAACTTAATTATTTTGTCATATTCTTCACCAATCTTCACCAACCGGTAGATTTGTTTTTCTTTCCGTCTGCTAAGCAGGTCCACTTTGTTTGTCAACATGCAGAAACTCCCATCTAGCATGCCAAGATACGTCAAGTCAGCTTCATTCTTGCAATTTCATGTTGTTCTAGTGTGTTTCTGAACGATTGGTCCAATTTGAACTATTTGCGGCATTTGCGGTTTTTTGCGGTCATTTGCGGCCAAAAGCCCAAAAGTACAGAAATTATTGAACTTTGGAAGGTCTAGGGCATTTTAAAAGTAAATCTTGAAACATATACTATATATGCAGCCTACGGGCATGTGTGTATATACATATATACATGGTTTAATTTGGGTTTGGGGCGTTCGTTTTTTGCGTGTGTTCTGGGGGAGCCCGTGCTGTCTTTTCTGCTGCGTATTTGCTGCCACACACGTCCCGCCTGCAAATCTTTAGCAGGAATAAACGACGATCGGCTGCAACACATGCATGCATGCCACGCACGGTACGCCTGCTCTACCCGTACAGGAAAAAACATGGAGGCTCCAAATTTCACCTGTCTTTTGTTCGACCTTTTGGCCCTGATTTTGCTCCGGCTTTGCCGTGGGCTTTGGACCTTTTTTTGTATTTTGACATTGTTTTTTTCTATCATCTTGGATCTTCCAGAACATGTAAGATATGGACAAACCACAGATGAAGAAGTGGCACAGCCGATGCGTTGCAAACATTCCGGTCTTATTCTGCCTGCGCCAAAAAGGCGGAAAAATAACAGCCTTAACCCTGCAGCAAAAAGACTTGACAACAACTTGCTACTTCACAACTTATCACTGAACAATAGCAACTTAAAGCATCAAACCACACCGAAGCAGATGTCTAAACCCCGGCAATTGAATGCTGACCTCCTACCTTTCGGATTCTAGCAATCCTTGTCCCATCGCTGCTGCTGCAGCAACATCTGACAAATTGTGAAAAAGCAGCGGCTGGTGCGATGAGAAACCTACGAATGTATGCACAAAAAGCTCACGCCCGCTCAAGCTGAACGCAAGAGAGAGAGAGAGAGATGAATATATATATATATACATATATATATATATGTGAATATATATATATATATGTATGTATATATATATGTATATATGTATTCATATATATATATATGTATATGTATATGTATAAATGTATTCATATATATATATATATATATGTATATATATATAAATATGTATATATATATGTACATGTATATATATATATAAATAATGTGCACGCATACCATTCTGGAGAGATTCGCCAGTGTTTCAAAAAAGTACCCTATATATAATACCACTGGTCAAACATTCAAATATTTCAACATATCATATTGGGGGTTCAGATGTCCCATGGTATTCCCAAAAAATGGTGGGTCCGTCATGGCTGCAAATCTTTTCTTTCTGAATAATTAATGTCGGCGCTTCTAAAAGGTGAGGCCCGATAAAGCCAAGAGCGAGGTAAATTAAGAACTTGCTTCACTGCTGAGTTTACGGGTGATGCAGTGATACAACTATAGCCATGGAGGTACCCCGAAATTACCCATCTCAATAAGATTTTCTATTCTAAACCAGCGTGGTATCCCCGTGACTATGGAAACCCCAATGTGGTGAAACCAGCAAATCATCTCAATATATGGATGTTTCCTAAAACCACGAATCATCGATTTTACTGGGACCTTCCATGAAATTTCTCGCATCCAGCGAGCTTGGGGTATCCCCAAGATATGGAAACCGTCATATCTCAAATAGGATTCTCCATTGACCAGCGTACTATCCACCTGAACTAACTGAGGCCTCACCTCTTGCAGCGCCCTGTGACCCTCGGCACCCGGCAAGGTCCTCCACACTCTGCTGCCAAAACCTGGGCTGAGGGCTCGAAAAGAACTCCTGGGGCCTGTGGTTATTTAACGTAGCGGGAAATCACCATGCTATTAGTAGGTAAATAATCATCATGTTTATAATCTATTTCTATGGGCCATGGCTTCCATAGCTATGTTAAATAACCAGAAGGTATCTAGATTAGTTATCTTTACAATTGCTACAGTTAGATGGGGAATATCTCTATAGCTGGATAGATTTGCAACCCCACCTACCTAGTGGGATACAAAATCTAACTACAATAACCTTTGTTTTTTAGGGGTATCTCTATAGTAGATGGGGGTCACAGATCAACAAACATAGGTGGCTCCACTATGTAGATATCTTCACAATTTTTCATGGATATTGTGGGGATATAAAAACTGAATATCCACTGGGGGTATGACAAATATGGATAGACAAATGGGGATAGATTTGAAGATTAGGGGCCTTACAACTCCTGGATATAATGGGGATCTAATCATTGGATAGGGGGAGATGTAAGATGCGTACCCCTTAGCTTTCGTATTTTTACATCCATTCACAGGGAACTTTTCCTTACCGGAAGGCACCCCCAACCAGGAGTGGCTTAGAACGATACCTTTTTGTGGGCTCATCGGCGCAAAATTATGTGAGCCATCGCCATGTGTTTAATATGTTAACCCAATTTTCCTGTGAAATCCCGTGGTTCTTGAAGTTCTTACCCAATATTTTTTTATCCAATTTAATAAATTGTTACTCAATGTTGTGGGTTTCCTTGGTACGTAAGTTTGGTCAACTGGCTGTTGGAGTCCCCACGGGTGTTTGATCAGTCATCTGTCTGTGCCTCTGACAGTTCCCTCTAAACATCATGTCTTTTTGGTTTGCCAAAAATGGTTGGCCTCAATGTTTCTTGAAACAAAATCGAGTTGGTGTTTTCAAGGTTTCAATCGTATTTTCAATGTTCAACCATATATTTCGCAAGATCCCCACGGAGAAATATTTTTCAGATGGGTTAAGAGATAAACGCACCAATCAGATGAGTTCATGTACTTAGACGGAGAGACTTTCGATGTGCCGAACACGCATTTGTCCAATCTCGCGCGTCCGCATTCTTGATGCCTGGATTGGCGACCTCGGCGCGAACAATTTCGTTGCAGCTTTCAGAAGGATATAGCTCGTTTTCCACCTCGTCACGGGAGTGTCCCTCACCTTGGACCAGATTGCGTCCGAACTTGCGACGAATGCTCCTTTGAAGGCTCGCCAATGACCGAGCCACAGCCGCGCTGGATCTCGGTCTTGACGATCCGACGCATGCGCTCGACATCCAGTTCAGAAGCCAGCAATGCATCGGCCTTGTTGCGGCGAAACCAATTTAGCTAGCATAATTCAGCTATAAATCAGCTAGACATTTCATGAAATCCCAATAAGTCCCGGTGAAATCATCATTTTCCCATGGTTTTCAAATGGTTTTCCTTTTCCTGGGTTTCCTATGTTTTTCCTATGGTTTCTCATGGCTTCCACAACCCCCCCCTACTTGCAGCAGGAAACTCCTTCCGCCGTGATGAGCAGCGCGGAGTTCCAGCCACGCGGCTGTGACCGGCCAACCTTGCCATCACAGCTGTGGCCCTATGGTTACCATATTTCTAAGGGGAATGAACATTAGCCAGCTATTTGAGTACATTGGATTCATGGGATTCAAGGAACTCAAGGGATTACCCTCTGGTAAACTAACAGTTTGCTATGGAAAGATCCACCATGCTATTAATGGGAAAACTCACTATTTCAATAGCCATTTTCAATAGCTATGTTAGTTTACCAGAGGGATTACTCATGGTCTATCATACTGAATTGTACTTGATAATGTTATCTCTACTGGTTTGATGATAGTTAATAGCTGGTTAATGATGAATGGTGGGCGTACCTGGGCAATAGCTGGTTAGTGATGGCTTATGGCCCCAATGATGGTTTCTACTCTAATGGTATTTCTAATGGTATATGGTTACTTGGAGGACCATTCCACGGATCGTAAGTGGTTAGAGATCAGTTTGCCATTGAAGGTAAGGCTTGAATGAAAGGGTCATGGTTCAGCACCATAGAGGCTGGTTGCCAGCATTTAACACTTCTAGCCTTGATCCCAGAAAGTTGAATGGAGCATGATTTTGTGAACAGCTTTTGGGAATGCGACCAAGAAACATATGTATTATTTATAGTTATTTACACAGTATTCAGGACTTTTACCAACAGTAATGGGGGCGCCAGCCAATATCAGTGCAGATTCTATACAGGATACAGTAAATGCTGAAGTAAACTGGAAGAAATGGGATGCACAAACCCAACTAGTAATGTATTTATTTGACATAAACCAGGAAGCACGCCTTTATTCCAATTCATGTTGTACCCCGATTACTGTAATGTGTCAAGTTTTCCCAACATAATTCTGAATCAGTGTACTTGTTGGGGTGGTACGGTATTGTGGCAACTTGTTTTTTTCTAAGGCCAATTTTTTGGTTCAGCATTGTTTTTATTTTGTTCCACTGTTGGAGTTTTTTGCAACATGTCTTTGAACATACAAAAACATAATTATAGGATGCCTGACCAAAACCAAAAAAAGAAGAACCCAAACAATTTTTCAAAGGGGTACCCCATCAGCAAGATTGATCTTCAATAGTATGTTTGTTGTGGTGGTCCTCTATTGTGTCATTTTTTTCTGGTGAAAATGTTCCAAAATCATTTTCTCCTTTCCTATTCCTTTCCTTTGCTAAAGCTTTTCTCGTTTTACTTTCTTAGTTCCATTCTTTGGCAATTCTCAACATGTCTAGTTTCCAAAATTATAGGATGCCTGATTAAAGCCACCCTCCCCCCCAAAAAACAGCACTCAAACAATTTTTCAAGGGGGTAGCCCATGAGCAGCATTGATCTTCAATTGTATGTTTGTTGTGGTGGTCCTCTATTGTGTCAGGTTTTTTTGAAGCGTATTTTTTCCAAAATCATTTTCTCATTTCCTTTGCTATAGCTTCTGTCTCTTACTTGGTTCAATTCTCCTGGCATCCTCTCCTTGATTTCTATGGTGTTTCTATGGCATTTCAGGTATTTCTAAAACGTTTCTATGGGAACTCTATAGAATTTCTATTGTGTTTCTATGATATTCTATGGTGTTTCTAAAGGGATGTCTATGGTATTTGTACGGGATTCCAATGGCCTTTCAAAAGGATGTCTACAGTATGGGATTTCTTTTGGGTTCCTATGGGGTCTCCATGAGATTTCTATGGGATTTCTTTTGGGGTTTCCATGACACTTCTATTAGATTCTTATGATAGTTCTATTAGATTGCTATGGGATTTAAAAGGAATTGTCTATGGTATTTCTACAAGATTTCTTTGGGAATTCCATGGGATTTCCATGAGGTTTCTTTGGAATGTCTATGGTGGTTCTATGATATTTCTATTGGAATTCTATTGGATTCCTGTGGGATTTCTATGGGATTTCCATGGTGGTTCTTTGGAATTTCTCTGGGATTCCAAAAGGATGTCTGTGGGATGTCCATTGGATTTCTATCAGATTTCTATGGTATTTCTATTCCTGGGATTTCCATGATATTTCTATTGGATTTCTATGATATTTCTGTGGGATTACTATTGGATTTTTTTTATAGGAGTCCTATGGCATTCCTATGGGATCTCCATGATGTTTCTATGATATTTCTATGAGATTACTATGGGATGTCTCAAGGAATTCTATATTGGATTTCTGTGGGAATCCTAAGGAATTTCCATGATATGTCTATGATATTTCTCTGGGATTACTATGGGAGGGATGTCAATTGAAAGTAAGTTGAAATCAATTGAAAATTAATTGATCGTAAATTGAAAGCAATTAAACATAAATTGAAAATAAGTTGAAATCAACTGATAGTCAATTGTAAATTGAAAATAAACTTAAATCTATTGATCATGAATTGAAATCAGTTGAAAGTAAATTGAAATCAATGGAAAGTCAATTTCAACCAATTGAAATTAAATTTACTGTAAATCAATTGAAAGTAAATTGACATCAATTGAAAGTAAATTGAAATCAATTGAAAATAAATTGAAACCAACTGAAAATCAATTGAAATCAATTGAAAGTAAACTTAATCAATAGAAATCAATTGATCAAATTTTATTCAGTACCTGGTCCCTAAAAAAAACACTTTAAAGTGTAGCCTGAAATTGTTTAAGGGGGGTCCCCCCCTACACTAATCAGCATCCAACATTCCCCCCTACACTAATCAGCATCCAACATTTGCACGGTGTTTATCATGTCTGATCTCAAGTAAGTATTTTGTTTCAACTTAGCTAACTATGGGGCACCACGTTGTATACACACATAATACATACCTGGAACCGAAATGACCCTGGTTCAGACCGTCCAACAAAAGGTCATTTGGGCTCCCGGAAAAAGAGTCCAGCTACAGAGACAGGGTTGATCCAGTTTGTCCAGTTATACGTTGGTGTATAGCTCCATCTAGCTATAGTTACAACTATCATATATACCCAACGCTTAATCCAGATATACATCACCTTGGAGAAGCCATACATCGAATCAACAAAACAACACACGGAGGTTTCCTAAGTCATAGGGGTTCCCCTAGTTATCATCCCATTTTAATAAGATTTTCCATGAAATACACTATCCAGCTATTGGGGTACCCCCACTTAGGGAAACCTCGACATGTTGAAAGGTAACATCCCCAACGTTCATGGGCCATGTGTCCATCGCAACACCAAGTGACAACGGGAGCTCGACCAAATGGATGTGCAGCACCTGGAGATCGAGCACAATGTGGGGCCCCCGCACAATGTGCCCCCCCCTGTTAAGAAGGTTGTTTATAACTAGGTTAACTGTTAGGTTTATAGTAGTTATAACTACAGTTATTTGGGATTATTAACTCTAGTTATAGGCCCCATCTAACTATAGTTCTAACTACCATCAAATCTAAATCTTGTAGCGTGGACCAAAGATGGCCTGCTGGAACGGTGATGACTGGATGGTAAACATGGCATTGTCTTACTCACATGGCATATAAATCCATATATGGCAGTGTGTCAAAACTTTGTACCCCTGGTGAACATCAAAATAGCGGGTAAATGGATGTTCATTCCCCTAAAAATGGTATTAATAGGTATTGATCCATACCCAAATATATATATATATATATAGTATAATATCCCAATCTAATTGTATATCATGACATTAAATAAAAACCTCACATTACTAAAATATATATATATATATACAGTATATTCTTGTCTTAATTCTTGTATATTAAACATATATATATATATCATGTATTCTGAAACATTATTAATGACTGGATGGCTGATTAAATTGTCCCAGCTCAACCGTTCGTCACTCCCTGCGCACCGGCTCAGGGCGATGGTGCGCTTGCCAAAGGGGTTCGTGGTCCAAGAGACGCAGATCCGACCACTTGTGCCACACCTCGGGAGGGAAAGCAGTGCCCTGCTGGTCTTTGGTTTCAAAGGTAGAGCAATCCCATGTGTTGTTTTTTTTTTTTAAATAGTTATTTTGTTTAAATTAATTAGTGATAAATCTAATGTACAGTAAAACATAAATTACATGCTAAAATAATTCATCGCTATTTAGATTTGTATTTACGACAAAACATGTAATAAGCCTGTAACATGTGCAGAATTAATTAATCATTTTTATAAGGTTTATTTTTCTTTTTGAAGTGAGCCGAATCAGGAATCAGGAATCAGGAGTAAACTTTGGTAGTACACTTTAGGGATGATTATGGATGATTACAATGTGAGGCCCCCCAGTGATGTGAACGTTGGTTAACAAAAGCCCCAGGAATATTATAGTTAGAAGTACCATAAACCATAGTGAAATTGGCGTTATTTGCACCAACTTAGCTATCGAACGGGGGCCTCACATTGCAGGATTTGAGCCACAAAACATCACAAAACAATTTTATAACTTATAGACCATGAACATTTGAACTATACAGATCAGTTTTCAAATACATGTCAAATTACAGTCCATCAAAAAGGGATCAATGTAAAACCAAGCAAAAAACAATGGATCAAACACACCAAGAGTGCAGTAATTGGAGACAAAACCAAACCCAGAGAGTGCTTCATTGGATAAAATGGATCATACAAGTACGAGTTGAATCCTTTTCACTCGAACATCTACGGAAAATACTGATCTGATCGACGGCTGACAAACAGTTTATGGCTACAATCCATCCAAACATGAATTGAACGCGCATCCAATTCACAATTGGGGGCTACTCCAATTGTGCCAGTTCTTAACTGATGACATTTCCAACACATATGGATTTGTCGGAGAATAGGGTAACCCAAGGGGCATCCTGTATGAGTGATGCTCCAACTGTAGCCGCAATACCCATCATGGTCCCAACACTTTTTTCCAACAAGTTGCGACGTTCACACGTTCACCACTTGCGTCGCGGGAACCCGCTGCATGTTCTGCATGTTCCGGAGGCGGTGCGCCTGCTGCAGATGGAACTACCAGAATCTTGTGGTAATGTACAGGATGAGGCTTAACTATGGTTTATGGTAGATATGACGAACTAGTGGATTATAATGGTTTATTAACCAACTTATAATTGGGGGGGCCATCCTGTGACAATTTTGAAGATACCCTCTGGTTATTTAACGTATCACCATTTAAAGGTAAATCATCAAACAACATCTATATATAAATGGGCCATTTACCATGGCTATGTTAAAAAAACAGAGTGTAGATTATTTTAAGGATTTAAATCATATTCTGAATATAGGAGATGGAATACCAAAACCAATGTCTACGAATGTAATTATATCAATGCTGTGCTTTTTCAATGGTAAAATCATGTAAAATCCCTTGTCCGGTCAAACCACTTCTCACCCTCAGCCATTTTCCGTACTTTTAGTGGGCCAACGGCGGCCAAAATCTTGGGGTCGTCGGCAATGTACCTATTTCAATGTGTACTGAAAAAGGATCTACGCATATAATCTGCTAACAACATCCCAATCTCAACAAAGAAGCGCTGTGCTCCTCAACAAACGCACCTCTGGGATATGTTCTTTCCTTTGACCTCTTAAGAAACACACCATAGATTGATTATACCCCCAGGAGGTTACACTGACTCTGTATATACTTATGTTTATATATATATATATGATGTATATACACAAACTCAACATCTGAAAGCTTAGGGGTCCTATTGCAATCTTTGTTTGTACCTTGACCATCCAAGAATTTTGGAAATTGGATAAAACAAACATGTTTCTTTCTCAGGAAAACACCCAGCTTTGACGGGTTAATGAGGGTGTACAGTGTGGTGCCAGCTAAGTTCGTTAAGGAGGTTAGCTATAGGGTCTAGTACTTTGAGGTATGGTTAGACGGAATTGCAAACCAATTCATACCTTGGGGGTCCCACAAAAAAAGGATATTTATCCATCAACTATTTGGTTTCAATGGTTTTCATATGGAGATATTTCTGAATGACTTAAATGATTGGCAAGGTGCCTTAAAATGGCTCCAAAAATTTGGCTTCATGAGGATCTAGGTATCGTTAGCTTATAGATAGCTTTAAAATAACTTGATCCCATGAAAGCCCCATAAAGCAAAAAAAACACATCAATTGCTGGCATTTTTCCAACCAACAGTCCCATAAATCAGCAAAAAAAACACATCAATCCCTGGCAAATCCAACCAAATCCCCATAAATCAGCTAAAAAAACACACATCAACTTGTGAGTTGTGTTTATTGCGTTCACTGTCTCCACTCTTCGCTGCTACCTACCTCCACTACGGACCCAACGTCGGGCTGGTGCCATGGCGTTTGGAAGCTTCGAAGGTGGTCTTTGATGGTCTTGGGATGATGGATTTCTCCAAGAATGGGTTGGATCATATTGGATACATGGCAATGATGAGACTGGATTCACGTTTGATAAAGTGTGTCCAATGATGAAATAAGTTGATAAGTTGAACAACATGATTCTTTAGCTGGGTATTTCTCGGTGCATGCTGGGTTGCAAACTGGACATATCTACAATAATGTTCGAGATGATTTCTGACCCCTATCTCTTGATGGCAAGATTCATCGTTGTTCCTATGAAAATGGCCAGAACTAGGGTACAGTATCGTATCGCTGCTAGCTCATTTCTAGACATAGCCGGTTCTGAGATGGGCCCTTAAGTGAGGTTGCTACAACTTGCCATCCATGTTGCGCTTTCCTTTTTTGCACAGCTTGGGGCAATCAAATGTTCTGCCGAAAACCGGGAGGTCGAATCGGCGCAATGCACAGATTTCTCGACCTGAAAAAACAGCTGCGGATTCGCAAGCTTAGATATTGCTTAGTGCTTAGATATGTCAGATATGCTTAGATGCTACAACGGTAAAATGTTGGAAACTGGGACAGCAAGTGAACAGTGACTTGTTATGCTCCAGACGCCTATCTGAAGGTCTTTTTTAAGTGCCAATCTAGCTCTCCCCCTCCCCCAAAAAAATTCAAGGGAGCGGCACTTTCGCTGGATCATCAACACACAAAGTGAACACCTGCCAATGACAGGTCAGATATGTAACAAACCCCAAAATCATCAGAAAAAATCACCCTGGTGACCTATCTCAATAGTAACTGGAAGATTGAGGCATATTGAAACCAGGAGAACAACCTCAGAATTCATCTAGTCTCTGGTAACTTAACAGTTTGCTATTGAAGCCATGGCCCAATTAGTTCGTTGATTTACCGCGTTTAAAGATGGTGATGTTCCAGTTCGCAAACCCAGAGGATAAACCATCCCCCAAATCACCATTTTTGTAGGTGGCATTTGTTCCATTCCCAGTCATGGGTGGTTTATGGCATGGTTTTAGCTGGTTAGTAGATCATCCCATTGATACCAAAGACTAGTTAGGATTAGTTTCTACCCATCTAAGATTGACCTAGAAACCAGGAACACAAAATCCCCCAATTTACCAGTCATGGGTGGTTTATGGCATTGTCTCACTGACATGAATTCAGATGGCTTAAATCGTTCCAGCTGCCCGGGAACTGGACACATTGACCTTGGCAGGGGACACAAAGGGCACTTTGATCATGAGCTCCTCAGCAGTTTGGAACGTTGGAACCTTTGGATTCCCGGGAATCAAATGGTGATCAAACGGTGATCAAATGGTGATATAGAAGCACCTACATAATGGGAATAGATGGGAATATTATTGGAATATTTCGTAGGAACAATATCATATTTGTGTGTATGTCCAAGGCCGCAGGTAGGAACCCTTTTCATAGCCTTTGAGTATACTATTTCAATAGGACTCTGGAAAAAGACGACAAACCATCAATGTTGAATAAACCCATGTTGAGACGCTGCGTGGTGCACAGCGAAGTAGCAGAGCTGAAGGGCGATAGAAAATGCCATAGCTCAGCGAGGATTCGTTGTGCCGCATCCCAGGTTTGAAGGGCCAGTCTTTTTTTTGGGCAAACCCTCCTGGTATTATTATGTACCCAAATATCATACAATGTTCCAAATATTAAAAAAAAACATAAATAACAATCATAGTTAATAATATTATGTTTGGCTATCATGTACTAATATGGCTATAAAATCAAAATCTTACCAGATTTCTTGGTGATTACCATCCATGAACCAGCTATTTCAGTATACCTATAGGGTACCAGGGTTGGTTATCCAAACCGCATTGACAACATTTTTCTGCTTATGGTGCGGACCGTTGCTCAGCCAAAGTGATTGCCCTTTCAGAACAGGCCTCTGGTATGGAAACCGCGGCATTTTCGATTCTGGGAATGTTCGGAACACAAGCTTGCCGAAAACTAGTTTTCCTCCAAGGACAAGAGATGGACCTGCCCAAGCAACATGCGCTTTGGATGGGCGCATGGCTTCCATGGTAGGTTGGAGCAAACCTGTCACGAAGTGGTGCAATCAGATAAGTTCACTGGGGGGCCTCATCTTGTATCAGTCTTCCAGAATAATATCAATCATATCCGCCTTGCGAAAAAAACAAAAAAACTTTACATCACCCCATTCCTAGTGGTAAACCCAAGTTCAGACGCTTCTATTAAAAACGGTTTGCTATTAAGTTTGAAACATTGTACACCTTATTTCATACAAGATCCCTTTCTTAATAGATATGAAAACCACTATAAAACCCATGATTCCACCATTATAAACACCAAACACTTACCTCTGGTAAACAAACATAACTAAAGAAAGTCACCATCGAAAAAAAACACGGTAAATCAACATAAATCAACATACGTATTCACCACGTATTCACCACGCCGCAGTCCTCGTCTCCTTCAGGAGTCTCTACGGAGAAACGGTCCTCCGAGTTTCGGGAAGTTAACCGTGGTGAGTCGAGAGTCGTACTACATTCATAACTTCATAACATTTCATAACTACAATAACTATGGGGGGTTGTAGCTATAGTTGTATTAAGATATATATATATACTATATCTATGTATAATATATATATATATATACGGTATTTAATAGCATAATTATAGTTTCATAACTCGATGAATGCAATCAATATATCTACAGGTATTTGTAGTCATATATAGGTGTCTATCCTACACATACAGCGATTTGTAATTATATATATATGGGCAGTACTCTGAACTCCTCTAAATGATCCTAGGTATTTCACTGATTTAAGTGAGCAACTCGGGAAAGTTTGGGTACAGCAACCTCCAAATAGGAAAAACATATGGACACATCTGTTCCTACTGAAATAGTAGTAAATTAAATTGTTTGTTTGGGCTTAGCCACTATATAATTGGACTGTGCAATTCTTTCTCTACTGTAGATGTGTGTCTGTGTGTGTGAAGATCACATTTCATCGTGGCATAATCACAATTGTTTTCCATGTTTGACAACAATAATACCAGCTACCAAAAAATGAGTCTTTCATGTCTTTACTACACACCGCAAACGAGCTTTGATGATCCGGTTGTCATTGTTGTGGAGTAATGGATAAACGAGACCCAAAGTTGCAATTTGCTGTCTTAACGGACGCTGAAAAAACATCAATGAAAGCCAAACATGGGAATTCAAACATAAAATCCCTGCTGTGGATGGAAGAAAGCCTGCACCACCTTGCATGGCTGAAACCCTATATATAAATAATGGGATAAACCATCTATCAATAATGTCCTTTTGGTAAAAAATAGAGGGGCCGGTTTGGTTAATCCCATCTATCATCATTTACTTGTTGTTTTTCAGGGGTAAACCTTCAGAAACCCCTCTATTTTCATCAACCAACCAATGGGAATTTGGGACATCTATGCCATCTGGGCAGGATTTCGCCACCATCCACCGTATGGTTTCATGGATGATATCCATCTCCCAAGGACTGCGAGGACCCCAACTCAGTTGACCAACTCGCACGGCACAGATCGAGACATCTTTGCAATGATCGAGCCCCTACTACAATGTGAGGCCCCCGGCCACGATAGCGTTCAGTTGGTGCAAATAACTCCAATAACTATGGTTTATGGTACTTATAACTATAGTTACTGGGCCTTATAAACCAACTTATATCTGGGGGGGGGCCAAATTGTACTGATCAATTTCAATGATACTGATAATATATAGATGTATATAGTGTCATATATCATTGGCAGGTGTTATTGTCAATTGCCAACAATCAATCAATTTAATCGTATAGTGCCATCAATTTGAATAAAACCAATTAGGATTGATGGCAAGTATTTCAGCCACCCTAGCAGTGTTCAACACCTTCTGTCTTCCCTAAACATGAGGATGGAGAACTGGATTCTCATGGATTGTCATCATCCTCAATAATGTGGTTAAAACAATGCCATAAACTAGCCATGACTGGGAATGGTTTAATACCACCTATTTCTAGTGGTTGGGGGATGGTTTATTATTGTTTTAACCACATTATATTGGATATGACAAATAACTAAAAATAATAACAAAACACTATATAATAAAGTCAACCAAGAAGGGTGTCTTGCAGGCCTCTGCTCTCATTTTTTTTCCAACCACAGCGCATTTCACGGGTGGACACCCCCTTTAATGCGGCTCCCCCAGCTTCACGTTGGTCTACAATCCCATCTGACCATAGTTGAGTTGTAACTACCAAACACACTCCCATAGGATCCATGTATGCTATATATGCTAACATTTACCATCAATGTACCCCAAATGTTAGCATATATACCAGCACCATGGATCCTATGAGACTTGTTAACAGAGGTATAAACCAACTTAGCTATCGTGAATCAGCTATAAATCCCACTAAATCCACATTGTTCTTGGTTAAATCACCCTTTTCACATGGTTTTTCCGCAGGCTTTCCCATTGAAACGCGCTCCTCCAGTCGATTCTCGTAGGGTCGGAAGGTGCTACTGGCACTGTTCGGCACCTCCCGGCAGGCCAGGCAAGCGTAGTAGGGGATGGGGGGATGGGATGCTGGATGATGATGGTTAACTGTTATTTTTTTGAATTATGATAGATGGGTTTATGATGATGATGATTTTTTTTTTGATGGATGATGATGGGTATAGAATATTTATAGATCATTTCCCCATTAAGCACCAGCAAGCTGGTGTCATCACAGGGAAATGAACCGAGGGTATACCCTCTGGTAATTTAAGAGTTTGCTAGTGAAAATTGCCATGTAGTTCGTTGATTTACCGTTCTTTAGATGGAGACTTTCCATAGCTATGCTAATTTACCAGAGGGTGGCCATGATGATATATTGTAGTTTCCGGGAATTGAACATATATAACTACTAAAGATATTTAAAAATGAATGCGTGGAACATGAGAATGTATAGTAATCCCCCAACAAAGGGCGGTATGAGCAGCGGCAGAAAGCCTTGGGGAACCACTCTGCTTGTTTGGTGGAGATGCGATCATCTGGACAGTGAACATTCTCCATTTCTCCGGCTGGTATGAGTGCGATAAAGGTACCAAAATCCTCGACCGCATCATCTGTTGGCCCACTACTAAGGCAAAACAACTTCAACCAAAACTGTCCCACAGCCACAGTCATGAAGGGCTTTGGCGTGTTAATTCCCAGGAGCAACATAACCAACCTGATTCTTGCCATTAACCCATCGCGATTGTGGTCATGTTGCTTCAAGAATCATCCTGGCAATGGGAATTGAATCATATACGGCACTTCATTTGGGGCCGTCCCCTTGAAAAAATAAACATACAACTATGACAAAATATGACAACATCCTATATTATCTTCACACATACTAATACTAATAAAGCAAGGGTTTTACTTTTTTACATTCATCCTGCGTCGGCTCTTTCTTTTTCAGCCGCGAGATATATCTGCACAGTTCGCCCGCAGTTCGCTTTCTGCTCAGACGACCTTGTTGGGCACATCCTGTGGCGTTTTGTGATGAATTCTGCTGATTTAAAAGAAAAACAAGTTGTGAAAATTGGGGAACAATCGCCTCTCCTTGTAGGCAATAGCGTGATTCAATAATCAAGGCTCAAGAAACATAATCTTATCATATCTAATCTATCTGATCTAACCTTTCTTACTGTATCTGATGTAATCTGATGTCATGAGTCATCAAACAAAACCAAACCACCTACCTACCGACCTACCTACCTATCTACCTACCTATCGATGTGTATATAGATCTGATCTCATCAAAACAAAACCGATGAATGGTGATATCCATGAAACTCCCAAATAAGCATGGTTCAAATCTGGAGGCATCAATATGACCCACAATGTGTCTTGTTTATGAAAACCCAGTGCGACTTGGGGTTTCAATCGCGTTAATCCTCAGGCCGATTAGCTGTGGAACCCCGCTTCGCTAAGTTGGTTGAAGCAGGTTAGCTCTTTGGTTCATGGTAGTTAAAACATGTTATAACTAGATAAACCAACTTCTAAATGTGGGCCTTTTACGTTGTACCAATCATCATGGCCACCATTCACTGCTTTCCGTGCCGGATCCAGGTCTTATGGTGGACATCCGGCGCTGACATCTTTGAATTTGGGCCTGCTTTCACTGAAAGTCACTGAAAGCCACTTCTACACCCCAAAAAAATGATCAACCAATTCTTGCGAATTTTGAAACTACAAAACTGTGAAAATCGATGTGAATCCAGCCTTGGCCAGCAAAGTCTTCTGCTCATCGACCTCATCCTCCATTTGCTGTCGCGCGCGGCCGTAGCACACGCCACCCACAATGGACAAGGTTGCCTCATTGTGGCCCCCAGAAACTTCGCCGCTGAGGAGCGGCAGAAGCAAGTGGAGATTCAGGGACAAAAAAATGGAGAAATCTGCAGCACTTCGGGATCTCACCAGAAAATGCCAGAGCCAGTACGATTCAAACAGCAACGACACGGGATCTAAGAATCTAAGATCTACCCTCTGGTAATTTAACATAGCTATAGAAAATCACCATTTTTAATAGGTAAAACATCTATAAATGGGCCATTTTCCATGGCTATGCTAGTTTACCAGAGGGTACCCTAACCTGTCTGCTTCGAATTTTTGCCAATACGCTAATAGAACCAGCATAAATGGAAGCGAAGTCTCCAACGAAATGTTGATTCTATTCTATCCATGAAAATGTGTCTTGAAGGGAACATATGGGAAATCGATTACCATCTCACAATTTAATAAAGCTATTGAAAATGGCACGTTTATAGTTGATTTACCTGTTAAAGATGGTGATTTTCCATAGCTATGTTCGTTTACCGGGTAAGCTGAATGGGACTGTCGATTTGAGAAATCTACCAGAAACCCAGGCTTCACCAATGGCAATGGTTTGCTGCCCAGATCAATGTTGGACACATGTTTCATGGTGATGTGTGTTTGCCTTAACAATGGCAGCACTCAGTTCCTATGGATCCATGGCCACTGTCTGAGAAGGCTAGCCATCTAACCCCCGAAATGTCATCATACCTCAGTCGTACTTCCTAAGCTACGGCTGGATCCATAGGGATTGAAGTTCAGTGTTGAAAAAACAGTGGATATTATACAATGTGAGGCCCCCAGGATAGCTAAGAACTTAGGCTAAGTTGGTGCAAATAACTCCAATAACTATGGTTTGTGGTACTTATAACTATAGTTACTGGGGCTTTTGTTAACCAACTTATAACTGGGGGGGCCTCACATTGTATCATTAATCAGTGTATATCAATGTAACAGTTGTAACAGTTGGGACCATCGTCCCACAGAGATGAAACCAACCAGCCAACAACAGCCGTAGTTTTCGTCTGAAACTGCTGAATTTCAAAAAAAAATAACGAGAACCAAAACACTACATTCATCCCAAAATAAAGTGATGACATATTGGAATGAAATCCCCATGAAATTGTCGGGTACTGAAAGAGCATTTGCTTGATATGAATAATGATGTATAGATATCTCTATATCATGTAACCTCAAAAAGTAGACAAACCGTTCAACTTCGCATGCCACCAGGCAGCACCCAGTAACTGCGTCAGGGTCAACACCTGACGCTTCGAGGATCATCCGATTCCCGAGGTTGTCCCATTTATCTGGTTGGTGGTATACCTACCCCTCTGAAAAAGGCTATCAGCTATTATAACTTATAACTGGTTATTCCAATGGGATGAGACACATTCTATAGAGGGGATTCTAATGTTATAAGTACGTATAACTGGTATTTGGGGCCATAACTGTGGGTTTGTCAAGTTATCCCAGTTAATAACCACTTGCTAACATGGGCTGTCTCAAGTCATGGCGGATCCAAGGTAAAATCAAGGTTGTTTCAATACTAAGTCATGGTCTAAATCTAAAGTGTAATCAATGACTTGGATGAGGCAAGGGGGGTATCTCTATTTCAGGAAAGTTCAAAATTTGTTTTGATTAGCAATTAAAATAATCCTATCCCATTTTCCACATGGCAAAATCCGCAGCAAATGGGGAAAATAGGGGATATTCGTCTACAATGGCGATATGTTTTTGTGGAAGACCTCAGAGTTCTCTCTATTTGGGATGTTAATGGGATGGTGTGTTTTTGGGTTTACCTCAATATTTGAATCAATATCTTGGATCATCTTGGTACTTTGACCAATTCTTTCAGTACTTTGTTCCAATCAAGTTCTGGCATTTTCTGGCAGAAATTGCTGGCGTATTGTACTCTTTTCCTCAAATCTTGACCCTAGCGGCACCGGGCAATCACGAACCATCTTGAAACTCGAATCTGCCAAAACACCCAATTCATTTGGGCCCAAAATAGGTGCATGTTGGTTTGTGGTTGTTTATTGTGATGACTGCAATCACGGTTGGATTTACGTTGGAGATTAATCACTCAGGCATGAAGCAACTAACATGGGGAGGGCAACCTCGTACACAACATATCTTGCCGGACATTTCAAGGATAAACAACGTCTCTGGAGTTTTGCATGTCACGTTGGTGAAACCACCTCTTTTTGTTGCCTTGTTGCCGCAACAGACTTGGAACAACTCGACCCAGAACCATCCAGAACCCCTGAGAATGAACCTTGGTATGCATGCCAAAGGCCTCGATTCCGATGATCAAGAACCTCAAAGCTCGGGAAAGAAACGGGATAACAAACAATATGTTCCATGAAATACCAACGATTTGGATTATTTTTCTGACTACTGTATATCCCATAGGTTCCATGTATGGTATATATGCTAACATTTGGGGTATATTGATGGTAAATGTTAGCATATATGGCAGCACCATGGATCCTATGGGTATTGATAAACATTCCAAAAACATGGAGCATTAATGGGCAAGATACCCGACTTCTCTGACATAAATTTGTCGATATTCAGCCAACAGGAATCAACAGGACATTTCACATTTCACCAGAAATGATAAATAATATACAATGTGAGGCCCCCCAGTTATAAGTTGGTTTAGAAGCCCCAGTAACTATAGTTATAACTATCATAAACCATAGTTATTGGAGTTATAAACCAACTTGGCTATCTTGGGGGCCTCACATTGTATTAAACATGATGAATAGTGGTTAATATCACGTAAACAATGATCTATCTGGGCAAACTATAGTAATTCACTGACCTGAATCTTGCGGCCATTTGGGGATGATTTCCCTTATCAACCATGATTCCAGGGTTCGGGAGAACAGTGAGGTCGTTATAATTTACCCTGGTAAACTAACATAGCTATGGAAAATCACCAATTTTAATGGGTAAATCAACTATAAATAACCATTTGCAATAGTTATAATTATTAGTTTACCAGAGAGTACCCAGATTTATGTAATGAATACTGGGGGGCAAACATTTCTTATATGAGATTGTACAAGTCCCAGTCCACGCTTCACGAGATTGCCTATCTGGACGATACCAACACCGGGTAGTTCCGAAAAATATGGGGGGTTCCGAAATTGGGGCTACCCCAAAATGCATGGTTTATAGGGAACATTCTATTAAAATCTGGTTGGTGGTATACTACCTACCCCTCTGGAAAATATGAATTTGTCAGTTGGGATGATGACATTCCCAACTGAATGGAAAAATAAAAATCATGTTCCAAACCACCAACCAGAAATGGATGATAACTAGGGGTTCCCCTATTTCAGGAAAGTGTCAACAGTTTGGGTGTTAGTGAGTGCGCTGAAATCTTGTGACCGTACAGACATCTAATCATACGCACAGACCCTGTGGTTTGCCCGGACTGCAACATTGAGGATGCCCTGCTGTCGAACATGAGAAGAGAAATTGCAGAAAATACGCAGTGATACGCAGTGTGTTCTGGTTTAGGATTCAGAGTTTTCAGGGTTTTAGGGTGTAGGGTGTTAGGTTTAGGGTTTTAGGGTTTAGGGTTTAGGGTTTGTCGCCTTGGAAATATAACAAAACACTGGCCCTGCGCAGGTTTTTGAGCATGTCGAAGGGTAATATTTGAACACCATTCTAACCTTGCGGGCAAACCATAGGGTCCTGCTGTAATCATAGATGGCCCTCACACCATGGCCCTTGTTGATCACACGCAAAAGTTCTCGTGCCACTAGGTTCACTTACCAGTAGTTAAGGAGTGAATTCATACTAATCTATTGGAATTCCTCATCTTTCTTGGTTGATATTGATATTCCCATTCTGTATACCAGTTGGCCCCCCTAGGGTTATAATTTGGTTTACAAATCCCATTTAACTATAGTCACAAGCTGTTCCAAGTATCATCAACCGTAGTTTTTGGGGTGATAAACCAACTTAGCCAACTTTTTTTGGCCCCACATTGTATGTTGGTAAAATTCCGAGTGGTTCCATGTGGTTCCCACCCTCCAGTGATTGAAAACACAAAAAAACGAACGACCGCAACGGCGAGATCCACAGCGGCGTCAAGTGGCTTGTTCGCGTTAACCATCACCAAGAAACCTAAGAAAAAGGATAGAAAAGGATGTTAAATTGAGCGTGAACATCGAGTGAAGCACACAAAAATTGAAATTCTACATGGTGGTCCGTCCTGCTTCGGAAGTATGTTATAAATATCATATATATAATATATATATATAATGTCCACATTATACATAAACCTGGTGTAAGTCAAGTAGGTGCGGTTGTTTCACTATTTTTACAGGGTCTACCAAGCAGGGCGAACCACCAAATACCAAGCACCAACTACTCAGTACTACTCATGGGATATATAGCACTAACAGCTGGTAGTTAAGATATCATGAGATATCGTGGGATGTCCAATGATGAGGATTGATCAATTTCATTCAATTTCCCGAATCGCAGGGGACCAGAAATGGACTAGGCCAGGCCATTCTTAGTAAGCTACCTCTGTTTGGGGCACATCGTTTTCACACACACACGCGCACACAGGCACACACTCAATGATTGTTAGCCTTGGAAGAAAAAGCCATCGGTTGATGTACCCTCTGGTAATTTAACGTAGCTATGGAAAATCACCACTTTAAATAGGTAAATCATGAGTCATCATCTATTAAATGGGCCATTTTCCATGGCTATTCCATAGCTATGTTAAATAACCAGACGGTACAATGCGTGGCTCGGCTCTTGGCAAACATCAAAACAAAAAATAACAAACAACCAGGTGTTTCAAATTCCAGCCGCTTCCAGCCTTGGTATTGGACAGGAAAAGTACCCAAGGGGAAAATCATTGGAACATTGCATTGTACTGATATTTCAATTATTAAATCCAATCATGTGCTGGATTTGCCATTAATTGAAAGCTAAAACATGCTAAAACAATGTTCGTGTTCACATCAAGTAAAATCTACTTCACATCAAATTAAAACTTTGACCTTATATGTTGAGGTTTAACTTAATCCACATTTCTCATATGGGGGTGTCCAAAAAATAGCGGTACCCCCCAAATCATCCAAGTCATGGATGACCATTTTAGTATTTTCTATGAGCAGTGTTCAAAATCCCTTTGTCTTTCCATTACCCATAGGATCCATGTATGGTATATATGCTAACATTTGGGGTATATTCATGGTAAATGTTACCATATATAGCAGCACCATGGATCCTATGGATTATACGGGATTTCCCGTTCTTGGATTTTCATAATTCCCAATATATTGGCTAGTAGAATCCCCGAACTAATCATCAACCAACCAGGGTTTTGAACACTATTTACTGCTTGGTGGTTTCAACCCCTCTGAAAAATATGAGCAAATGGGAAGGATTATCCCATATAATTATTATGGAAAAAATAAACATGTCTGAAACCACCAACCAGATCATGTTTTCAACTACCCTGCTGGCGAGGAAGCTCGTCGCGCTGATGAGACTCTGCGCCCAGATCCCCGTGTAGCAGATGGACAGGCCGATGAGGCAGGTCAGCAAGATGTAGACTTGATCCTGAAACCCATAGGATCCATGTATGCTATATATGGTAACATTTACCATGAATATACCCCAAATGTTAGCATATATACCAGCACCATGGATCCTGAAAATCTCGGTGAAAAAGTCGTAAAACATGGGAAATCCCCCAACATCTTGGGGAAATCCTCCTTTAATAGTTGGTGAATTCACGGGGAGAATTATCTTGAAAATGTGGGTGATATTAAATTTCACGAACTCCTGGGGATATTGCATCATATTGCATCTTGACATTGATATCCAATATTCCCTAAAAATCACAAAATCCCAGGAGCTCGTGAAATTTAATAGTTGGTGAATTCACGGGGAGAATTACCCTGAAAATGTTGGTGAAAATCTCGTAAAACATGGGAAATCCTCCAACATTTTTTTTTTGCTTGGACAATCACAATGTTTTCCGAGAAGTATTCCCCCATTGTGAACTTGGATATGATGGTGAATAGACCCTAAAACAGAGGTGTAATGTACCATTTTTAAGGCCATATTTTGTATCTGATATTCCCAGACATTTTGGCCTTATAACTGTATACCTCCAATTTAGGTTTCTGAAATGGCCATTGATTGATGGTGAATACAAGGGGAACAAAAACGATGACATATGTCAGCAGAAGGTCAGATTCACGGGAAATCTATCTATTGATGGGGTACCAATAAATCCTGGATATCATGTTCGCATGATTCCAAGGTGAATTTGAGATATACCCCATGTTCAATCACACCCAAATACATCATTCACTGTGGTCTCCCTGTTAATCCCGTGCGTCTTAATACCTCGAATCCTTGTCATTCCAATTTAAGGCAGCTGCCCCATGCAACCAGGTTTCCCAAGATGACAAGGTTGCAAAAACCACCTGAAGCAAAACACAGTGATTGCTGTTCAGGACCAGCATTCCTATATTGGTTACATGGTTAATTTCCTATGTTTTATACTATACTATTGAATATATTGGTTACAAGGTTAATTTCCCATGTTTTATACTATACCATGATTAATCAGTGATGTGTGATAACATCATACTACACATCCACAGTGTGCTTCATTCAAGGTATTTTTTCGCCCAAGTTTGAGGTATTCCAAGGATTTGTGTTCACCAACACGCCCCTTCTTTTTGGTCGCCAAGACAAAATGGCTGTGTCAAGAGACCTTTGTCTCTCCATATTTGAACCGATCAGATTCGCTCTATCTGATCTTTTGTGCGTCCCCTCATGGTAGAGGGTTTCTTATCTAGTGCACTGCAACCTTTCCTGGTAGAAAGGGAAAAGAAACCCCTGGTAGGGATGGCTTATTGGTAAGCCAACTGGTTATGTTCTGGTGTCTTCCCCCCAAGCTGGGGGGGTGCAGGCGGGAGAGCTTGACCCTAAACATTGAGGGAAGACGACCTGACATGAGGGGCTAGGTTCACACAAACAGTTCCAGGAACATACTTGTGTTCACCAACACGCCCCTTCTTTTTGGTCGCCAAGACAAAATGGCTGTGTCAAGGGACCTTTGTCTCTCCATATTTGAACCGATCAGATTCGCTCTATCTGATCTTTTGTGCGTCCCCTCATGGTAGAGGGTTTCTTATCTAGTGCACTGCAACCTTTCCTGGTAGAAAGGAAAAAGAAACCCCTGGTAGGGATGGCTTATTGGTAAGCCAACTGGTTATGTTCTGGTGTCTTCCACGCTTCCAAGCAACGCGTCCATGCAGAAACGGAAACCGTTTATGTGTTACAAAAAGAGAATTCTTGCAGGAACAAAGTTGTATGGGTACTCATTTTGATTGATGGGATGTAACTTAAGGCATCACTGATATATAGGCGGGCAACACGGGTGGATTCCCAGCGCCCTCTGAGCAAGGCTGCTTCCATGCTTTTAGTTTGCTGAAAAACAGCGGTGGCACCGCCACGCCTAAGACTGTAAGGCCTGAAGGCATGTTTTTGTAATCCCATTAAATCACACAGGAACTTAAAGCGCTTCCGGAATTGAGCAGGGGTACGTGACCAAAGAGGCACACTACTTAAATTATTAATATGTCGTGATTCAACCAAGGTTCGGATTATTTCCAGGACCAAGGGATTGGTGATACTTATGGCCTCATTTGCATTTTGAGGGATGCCAGACTTTGTGTCTTTTAAAGCGCATATCCCTGACTGTTTGCCTAGGGAAAAGTCATCAGCTGTCACCGTAAGAAGTTCACCTGTACGTAAGAGGCAGTGAAACCCTAAAAGGAGAACGGCAGCCATCTCAAAATGTTCTTGTTCCCACTCATAGGCAGCCATTGATTCTACCAATGTCCACGTGAGTGGTGGAGCGCGTGAAGGAACCTCTACTCGGCGCCATATGGCAAATAATTTCCAGGCATGGGGTATTTTTCTTTTTGACCAAGGTTGATAAAAATGCAAAGCGCTTAATCCATCCCCAATAGTGAGAATGGGTTCACAGATTTTCCACATCCTGCGGATCCATTTACAGACCCATGCATCCAAGTCCTCTTCATGAGCGGCACGCTCAACATAGGGGATTAATTTACGCAAGGCATTATAGTATCGGACTAAGGTCTTAGGGGTAAGAGCTGCGTCTTCGAGGTTAATACGGGCTCTTTGCCGTATTCTTTCAGCTCTGGAGAACCGTCCTGCTATCAGTCTCGGTTTTACTGGCCCTGGACCCCTCATCAGAGGGATTGTCAGCTGAATCTACATGTCCTAAAATCATCTGCAGCCCAAATGCTAACAAGTGAGCACCAATGACTTTGAGAACCCTTGACAGCTGTTTGCTACTGCTGCGCCCTTTGCTTACCACACTCATCCCCACGTACGAGTCGGTGATTTGAAAGACCCTCTGATTAACAGCTTCTATCCTTGAGATTTGGAACTTCAAACCCAATAGGATAGACTCCAACTCCAAAACATTGATGTGTGAATGTTGTTTCCAAACAGTTTTAAAACTATGCTCCCATTGCCACCATACAGATGCAACTGATTGTCTCGGAAAACTGCGACTAGCCATAGCATCCCCAGTAATAACCCTGATGTCTGAACCAGTGTGATTTGTTTTTCTGAGTAAAAACCTGTTGAGTAAATGGACCCCATTTGAAAATGCTTTAGGATCCTTGTGCAAACTCCCGTATTGTAACATCTTTGCAAGAGGCACCTGCCGCCGCAAAATGTTCCGAAACCCAGGAGCAAGACCCATGCGTTTTGCTAAATGCTGATACGCAATGGAAGGCACAAATTGATGGCAGCAACTTGCTGCCAATACCACAAAAGAATAAATGCTGAATGAATCGCCTAAAAGACGGTGTCTGCAATCATCAAATCCCACTGGATCACCTTTGCTTCTTGATGCACTCCATGCCAAGCTAGTATGTTGATAACCGTACCCCAACAACAGTTCTTTTTCTTCAGCATTCAGCAACCTCCAAGTAGAGTTGGTTGTAATGATAAAATTTGGACCATATTGGTAGGGGGGATACCTATATTGGTCATCTTTCCAACGCTGAATGGTCGCACGGTCACACTTGTTTAATCCTGCTGGTCGAGGTGGAGGTTGAGTTCGAGGAATACTTTTGAGGCAGGTAGGAAAAACAGCTCCTGTTGAACCACCAGTCCATTCATAACCTTCTGTTAACCAGTTTTGCTGTAAAGGATAGGCTGCCGGGGCATGGACCTCTCTCCAGTAGCGTCCCTCAGTGACAGTGACTCCACTTACCTTGTTCTCAATACATTCCGATGTCCAGCAAAAACGAGGCCTCCGCATTGGCACTGCGTCAACGGAGTCCAATTTATATGGAACACTTCCCATATAGTCTGAGATTTCGCGGGCTGCCGTCTCATCCATGGAAGCTACGTTCTCCAACACATGCTTGATCTTGACAGAAGCTCCAAATTCTTCAGCTAACAAATCCCTTATGCGAGGGATTTCCCAGAATAAAGAACTCTGAGGTCCTTCCAAATTCTTCCTCCCATATTTGACAGCAGACAAATCTACACAGGGCCAACCTCCCCATAGATGAATTTCCAAAACTTTCAAGTATTTCATGCTCCAACTTTGCACCATGGCACGATTCACACTTCTAACGTCCTTGACCAGCTCAACTCCAGGCCATCTGCGTTGGGTCACCCTGTTCGCCGCGGCATCCAGTTCCACTGCTATACGCCCCAAAGGTTCAACTCCCAAAATGTCATAACATCTAAAGGCCCCACCTATGCCGTTAAATAAACTGATGAGGAGCACTGGAATGCATCCCTTGTCCCTGCTATGCTCCAGTTCTTCACTCGCCGTCAAAAAGTCTATCCCCTCAGTGGTCAAGTCTTTGGCCATTTCGACGGAGCCTCCACTTTCAGAGGCATCTGTGCAGATTACATACCTGCTGACTTCCGCTCCCATGAAACAATGTAGTAACGGTGCAATGCTGATCAGACCAAGCAACTCACTTTTGACTGCCATCCGCATTGCTTGTGTGATCTTAGTTGTTCCGGAAATAAACTGCCAAGTCTTCTGCAAATAGCTCATAGCAGGCCGTCTAAACTGTAGGATGAAGACCCATCTTCCTGCCAATATCTGCACATGTTTCCGATTCAAACTCCTTTGACTTAACATCCAAAGAGTATCTTGAACAGTTTTGACCAATTTTTCAGTAGAAACTCCCAGAGTTCTGTTGTCCCCTTGTATTTCAGCTCCTAGCTCAGTCACGCAAGCTGCTGCTTTTACCCTTTTCTTTTCTGAAGATACCACCCCAGCGGCGTTCCATGCGTCTTCTGCCATTTGATGACAGATTGCGGCATCCAGTGCAGATTCCCCTGGTTCAATCCGTTCTCCCCCAGCATAATTGTCTAAATATACGTGCCACCAACTGCGTCCGCGTGATGTAGCTTCATCCAAAACAGTGCTCATCCAAGGTGGTAGTATACGCCCCCTCAAAATTTGGTTATCCATTGACAGCCCCTGTTGCGTCAAAAGATTTTCAGAAATTTCTTGCATAATTCCAACGCTATTCAACCATCCCATTGGGATACATGCACAAGCCAAAGCATAGCTGACCCCGGGTTCTCCATGTATTTGAGCCCCATCTGCTAAAACATTGAAAGCTAAGTACGGTTTCCACTGCGGCGGAAGTCTGAAAAGATAGAATGCTGAACACATGTCACTTTGATGCATCACCAATTTTTGATCCCCGTCCAGAACGATACTTTGCCAGGAAGTTATACTAGGCAATGTAGTGCATCCCCCTTCTAGCTGTCGCTGTGTTGAATTTGACCCTGTAAGATTCATAATCAAACGTAATATAACTCTCCCATCATCCAGTGTAGTAGGTTTGGCCACCCCGAACAGTCCATTCAACACATGCACCCCTCTAACTTGATAAACTTTTGACAGTGGTATCCAATCACAAACATTCCTTGAAACCAGTTCTGAAGCGATCCTCATCTTATCTGTTGCTTGAATATGAACTCTTCCCGGCATCTTAGGAAGCTCCACTTCCTGCTCTTGTTTGAGAAGACGTTCGGGATTAACCAAAAACTCTCGTGTACGTGGGCTAACCCAATCCAAACAGTTAATACATCCCCCATGTTCTTGTGGTGGAAGTGCAGGAACCACTTGATCCCAAGTAAGCTCGTGGCATACAGCTAGCTCTTCTCCATTATACCCCATTCGTCTGCGCCCCACATCTTTTTGCCAACCTTCTTCGGACGTTGGGTGAGGTTTGGACACTTCACTCCTACGTTGCACAGCAGCCAGAATTGATCCTGCGGCAGTGCGCTCGGGTCGTGTCCAGCGCCCTGGTGCTAGCCGCCCCCCTTTCCCAGCCAAATGATTCAGGGAGCACATGGCAACATAGGCCCATGCCTTATGCCACCACATATCTACGATCGGCTGCAAGGATACGTCTGCCAGCGCCAGATCTGTAAAGACCTGCACCAAGTCACAAAGCTCTCCCTCACGAAGCGGAAAAGCTGCACCTCGGCGATTTCCCGAAGCCAGCTTGGTCTTGGCGACTTTACCATTCCACAAAAAGCTGAATTCTTCCACAATGTAGTCACCCATTTCTGTACTTGGTGACCGTATAGCAAACCACGCAAGCAGGCAACCCAGCTGTTGAAATGTTGTACAACAACCAACGCCAGACTTCAGATCTGCAACTGTAACTCGAACTGTATTGTGCAAAGCCCTACTGGGGTCAGCGTCGGGATATCCCAGCGACCCTTGTTGCTCCTCCAACCTTCTCATTTTTCCCCGGGCTTCTCCCGAGTTCGAGTCTCCACCTCCTTCTCCGTCGTATTCCATCCTTTCTGCTTTCCTTTTCCCTTTGCACCTTTCTTGCCTTTTCCTTTTTGAACCCCATAGGAATCGTGCCAACTGCTGGCTTTGCCTCTGCCGCCTTTGCCTTTTCCGGAGTTGCCCCAGTTCCACTGGTCTGCCGGCGCCAGTTTTGCGGCTAGCCTGGCATGCCGTTTGGCCTCGAGCACGACCTCTGGACCTGCCGCCGTTCCTTCCTCTAGCGGCAACAATTCCAGGTGTCGAGCTGTGGCCCAACTGCCATCGATGACGCTCTGGTTCAGAGACATGAAACGTCCTGCGAGCACATCGCCCAGCAGGTCCAAATCTCCCTGCCTCAGGAGATCTATCGCTTGCGCGATATGGTGTAGCTCTCGTGCTTGAGCCATCGCATTCCCCACCTGCGGCCTCACGCAGATGGCGAAATAAGACCCCATCCGCACGCCTGAGGTCATAGTTAGGCTCTCTGCATCTTGAACTTGTACTTTTGCTCCTTGATCTAATTGTGACCGTGCGTGTTGTAGCAGCATCTGCAAGACGCTGCCCGGTTTTCTCCGTGACTTCTTCCTCAATGGAGCAACCAGGCGCTTCTTGCTGTCGCTCGAACTGCTTGACTCTGCTCCTGAGCTGTTGCCCGAACTCGATGTCGGTGAGTCGCCCCCACCCGGACTGGAGCTTCTCTTCTTCTTCCTTTTCTTCTTCTTGGCCTTCCTCTGGCTCCTGTCTCCTCCGGAGGCGTGACTGCTTCCATCTGAGCTCCTCTTCCTCCGCTTCTTTCCACTCACTGCCTTGGTAAGGATCAGCGCCAGCTGGCGACCCGGATCCTTCCTGTGATGTCGCCTCTTCTCTGCTTTCTCCTTCTGAGCTTTCTCCTTTGCTGTCTCGGCTGCTTTCAGGACCAGTTGGTTCTGCAAGTTTCGCGTAGTACCTCCTTTTGAATCCTCCAGTCCTTTGAGAGCCGACTCTTCGCGGGCCCCACCTTCTCTCTTCTTTTTCTTCTCTTTGCCTTTGTCCTTTCGATTCTTCTCTTTCTTCTCTGATTTCTTCTTCTGATGTTCTCCTCCTCCGTGTTCTCCCTGGTCCTCCAACGCTTGAATCCCATCCTCGCCCGCTGGTGAGCACGAATAGCCTGGCGAGGAAGATGGGACGTTGGTTACCTCCTCGTCGCCCCCCGGCTCGGCCATGCGGCCAGCGGGTTTCTCTACTCCACGTCTGATCATCTTCTCTCTGGCCTCGTCTAAACGCTTTCGCAGGTTTTCTCGTTCTGCATCTGAAAATGCCTTGGGCCGGGCGTGACCCTCTTTCTTCTCCTTTGGTCTGTTCTTTTCTTCTCCAGCCTTCTTTCTGTCTGGGTCCTTCTCTGGAGGACGCTCTCTTGGATCTCCTGGTGCTTCTTCTTGTTCCTCTCTGTCCGGTGATCCTGTGTCTCGACGGCCAGCATGGCCAGAGACATTCACCTCGTCTTCGTCTGCCTCGGCTAAATCCTCTTCTTCCCACTTCTGTACCTGCCGCTTGATGTAGGAAGTAAGATATGGCTTGTCGAAACTGGCCATGGTGAAAAGCTTGAACCTTGTAACGTGCATGGTGAACTCGGAAGTGACAGCACAAGGCTTGCTGCCACAGAAATGCAATTTGCCACTTCGGCGGTTGAACAAATTCGAAAAATACTTGGCCCAGTCTGGGTCTGAACAGCCTAAGCTCTTGACCACTGCGGCAAAGTCCCCTTCGGGGAGAATGAAAGTTTGTTTCACCCAGAAACCGGCCCCAAGATTCGGGGCGGCCTCCAAGTTTGTACTTGGTAGGTAAACCTCCACGACATCTCCTCGAGATATCATCATCATTTCCCATTCTGTCTTGTTGTCCAGTCTGAACTCCTGGCCTACAAGATCACTCATGCTATCTGTGCTCTCGGGGGGCCGACGGCCCAGCAAGGGATCTGTCGCTTTCCCAAAAAGCTTGAGTCGCCTTTCGGTGCACTCTCACGCCCGGATCGTCCAGCGTGCGGTGCAGACGGGGGTGTTTGCTGCCTCCCCTGTTGCCTCTTTTCTTCTTGCCTCCTGAACGTCTGCGATCACGTCCTTCTTCAGGGTGATGATCTCGCCTATGAGATGATTGATGTTCTTGTCGATGATGTCCACGAGGTGGGAAAGGAGGTTCAGGCGGCCTGAATCCAGGATTGGACTTTGGCGCCGCTCCTTCCAACGATTTAGAGCGCCTAGGCTCTTCTTCCTCTTCCTCCTCTTCGTCTCCTTCTTCTCCTGAACTCTCCTCCTGTGCTTTCACCCTCTGTATAGGTGTCCTGGAACGTTCTCGACGTTGCCTGTCGTCAGCCTCCCGGGCTGGTGCCACTGAGTTCCTAGCTGAATCAGCTCGGGTAGTAGCAGCGCGAGCTTGCCCAGCGCTGTGAATGCTGCTAGAGATTTTTCTCAGCGCACTCACACCACGAACTGCCCCAACAACCAGGTCGTTTGCCACTGCGCGTAACGCTGCAGTGGACCACCTGCTGGACAGTTCTGTATTCAGCGACTCAGTGGCAGTGCAACCTAAGCACCACGAGTCAGTACCGTATGGAGGGCACTGACGGCACTTGTTGCACAGCATGCGCGAGCACCACCCTAAGAAATCCTAGAGCTTGACCCTAAACATTGAGGGAAGACGACCTGACATGAGGGGCTAGGTTCACACAAACAGTTCCAGGAACATACTTGTCGGTCTTTTTGGTCAATGAAATGAAGAACTGCCACGTATCATTTATCCATGTGGAATTTTTGTCTAAAAATGAAACCTGCCTATAAAAAAGGGTAAGTGAATTTGCCATTTGATGATTAAGTTTGGTCTTTCTCATGTTTTTTTGCAAAACGAGTGGTTCACCCAGATTTGTTTGTAGATGTTGTCCAAATAAAGAGAAGGATCTGACCAACAAACTGAGGGGCTGAGAGACAAAAGTAAGGATTGCCCAGCGAAATGGTGTTTTGACGTCGAACACATCGATATCAAATAACTCCACCAGCAAAAATGTTGGTTTCACAGAAAGAAAAATAATATTTAAGCAACAAAAGTGAGATCTGACAACCAAAATCAGGTGCTTTGGATGCAATCAGCAAAGACAAGGATTTCAGCAATTAACAAGCAGGATTTAGCCAGCAAATGTGTGGGCACAATCAATGTCGAGTAGAAACAGCACAATTGGGTTGCTGGTCGACCAAACAACATGTCAAATCATCAAAAGATATGACCAACAGGAATAGCAGGATTATACCCCCAATGTTAGCATATACCCCCAATGTTAGCATATATACCATACATGGATCCTATGGGTATATGCCATGATATTTGCCTGCTGGGTAAATCTAGGTTTGCGAGTTTTCAATCCAACGCCAGTTGACAAAACGGACGGCTAATCGGACGGAAACTGTTTTTCGTTCATCCTGTTCACTGGATGCCACTGGAGACCCAATCAAAATGGTAGCACACATGAGCTGAGTAACGTACTCAAAATACCAGTTGGTCTACTCATAGTTTTATGGCTACATTTCATCATTAACCATCATTAACCCTGGTTGGTGGTTTCAACCCCTCTGAAAAATATGAAAATCAGTTGGGACTATTATTATTATTCCCAACTGAATGGAAAAAATAGAATATGTTCCAAACCACCAACCAGTGATGGTGAACTATGCTAACTATCCCTTTTCCGATGCTTTTCCGTTGGTTTTTCCGTTGGTTTTCCTATGTTTTTCCTATGATTT